GTGTTAAAAAGAGTGGGACTGGAGTTGGGCTAACTTTTCAGGCCTAGGGATGTCTTGCCACCCTAGGACTTGGAGAAAGTGCTCTGGGCAGTCTCAAGCCTGACTCTTGAGTCTTCTTGGCAGGGTGGGGGAAGAGGGGACTGGACGCTGTTCGGGGACCATGGAGGGGGGTCAGGAGGACTCTCACCGTGAGTTGCTGGTCCTTGGAGTCCCCGCTGTCCTTCATGTTGTGGCGGGTGGAGAGGCTCAGGCCACGACACCGGGCATGGCCGGGCGCACCCCCACGGCCGCCCTGTCCCTTCCTGGCGCTTCTTGAAGCCTCCTGCGCTGCCGCTGCCTGACAACCCGAAACCAACGACGCGCCCGCGGCCGAGGGCGCCGACCGGGAAGGCGGGGCCGGGGAGGGAGGCACCTCCCGCCTCCTGGACCCGCCCCTCCTGGCGCTACCGGCGACTTGGCGTGTCTGCCGGGCCGGCACCCAAGCCTGCGCCGCAGTCCCGCTCTGCTGCCCGTGCGTCCTCGGTCCTCGGCGTCCGTGCGTCCGCCGCGGCCAGGCGTCCGTTTGGCAGCTTCTGGGCGCCTCGTGGCCCCGATGCCCTTGCGCACAGCGCGCACCAGGGGGCGCCCGGCGGGCCGCGCGGTGTGCTGAGCAGACAGTTCCCTGCCCCTCTGGCCACCGTCTCGGCTTTCTGTCTTTCGGCGTCTCCAGGGCGGCGGCTGGCAGCCTAAGGTTTCCATGGGCTCCGCGTGCATCGCGGGCTGTGTCGCTGGCGTGGGTGTCTTCACCTCCCCCACTGCCCCATGCCAAGGGAGGAAAGGGAGGAAGACTTGCCCATTTGCCTAGGGTGCCCACCCCAGTCACCGAGTGGCGCAGGGGAGCCTCTGTATTCTCTGGGGCGGGGAGAGTGTCGCAGAAGAGCCGGCCTGTGTGCGCCCCGCTATCAAGCAAGGCTCTGTCATTGCCCAGAATCTAGGACAAGTGGGACGGCTCTGTGTGGCTGCTGGCTCCCTACCTGAGGGAAGAGCCACCATTCTGTGCAGGAAAGTCAACCCCGCGTCTTCACTGCTCTTGATGGTCATAACAGAAATTGCTCACAGGGATGACAGTGGAAAGATTCCTCCTCTCAGAAGTCCCCAGGAAAACAGCATTCACCTGCAGAACCAGCTGGAGCCAGCCCCCTTCTCAGGTTCCCGGGTGACGTTGGAGCCCCTCCCCATGTTAGGGTCCATCTTTCTTGCTCTATGCTGACCCCACTGAGGGAGAGCCCAGCATGCCTGTAAGGATGGGAGAGGGAGGGGCTCACTTCCCAAGGAAGGAGCCGGGTAAGGAAGAGCCGCTGTCCCCCGGGGCAGTCTCTGACGGCTGGCACACAGCCAGAGGCAGGGCAGGATGCCAGCTTCCACCCTGGGACTGCTTCCCAGGCACCCCCACTGAGCCCGCCTTGGGTATGGTTATTAATAAACAGTGGCAGGTAAGCAGCCTGTGGCCTAGGATTTGATAAACAGATGTCGTCAAGTCGATGCCTACTCATGGTGACTCTGTACCAAAGAACAAATGTTGGCCGGCCCTGTGTCTCCCTCACTGCTTGGGGCATGTGTGTGGCGTCACTGGGGCTGTAGTGCCAGTCCACCTCACGAGGGTCTCTGCCGTTGGCCCACTAGTTCACCAAGTGTTCTGTGCTCCTCTTGGTTCCCTCCCGATGATGGGTCCCAAACAAGCAAGTCAGACAATGTTGGGGTGTAGATCACAAGGCCTCTTCTCCTAGCCTGTCTTAGTCTGAAGGTTCTGCTGAGATCGCCTACCACGGGTGACCCCACATCACAGCGACACGCCACCCACCACACACGGCAGATGGACAGAGTCGGGGCGATTAGATACATAGATACACCAAATGAGGCCAAACACTTCTGCAGGGGCCACAAGGTTTGGCCCAGTTCTCTGGCCCGGGCTGCCCTCTGAGACTACACCACTAACGTGGCAAATGGGTGTGCCTCCACCGGAATCAGGCAAGCTTTGAGGAGGTGTCATTAGATAGAAAAAGCCCGCCAGTTTGTGCTTCAGACCTGTGCCTCTAACTTATTTGGATCAGCCACAGGACCAGCGATGAAGGCCAACTGGGCTATTGTCTTATTTACTTAGAGCTGCTATTTCACACACACACACACACACACACACACACAACGGTTGCAGCAGTATATTGACAGGGTGCTTCCAGAAATGCAAGCTGGATTCAGAAGAAGACGTGGAATGAAGGATATCATTGCTGATGTCAGATGGATCTTGGCTCAAAGCAAAGAACACCAGAAAGATGTTTACTTGTGCTTTATTGACTATGCAATAGCATTCGATTGTGTGGATCGTAACAAATTATGGATAACATTGAGACGAATGGGAATTCCAGAACACAATTGTGCTCATGAGGAACCTGTACATAGACCAGGGGACTGTCATTTGAACAGAACAAGGGGATACTAAATAGTTTAAAATCAAGAAAGGAGTGTATCAGGGTTGTATCCTTTCATATATTTATTCAGTCTGTACACTGGGCAAATAATGCAAGAAGCTGGACTATATGAAGAAGAATGTGGTATCAGGATTGGAGGAAGACTCATTAATAACCTGTGATATGCAGATGACACATCTTGCTCGCTGAAACTGAAGATGATTTGAAGCATTTACTGATGAAGATTGAAGACTACAGTCTGCAGTATGGATTACACCTCAACATAAAGAAAACAAAAATCCTCACAACTAGACCAATGTAACAGCATCATGATAAATGGAGAAAAGATTGAAGTTGTCAAAGACTTCATATTACTTGGTTCCACAATCAACACCAATGGCAGCAGCAGTCAAGAAATCAGACGATGTATTGCACTGGGCAAATCTGCTGCAAAAGACTTTTGTAAAGTGCTGAAGAGCAAAGATGTCTCTTTGAAAGACTAAGGTGCACCTCACACAAGCCCTGGTGTTTTCAGTCACCTCATACGCATGTCAGAGCTGGACAATGAATAAGGGAGACTGAAGAAGAGTTGATGCTTTTGAGTTGTGATGCTGGTGAAGGATAGGGAAAGTACCATGGGCTGCCAGAAGGACGAACAAACCTCTCCCGGAAGAAGTGCAGCCAGAATGGTCCTTGGAAGCGAGAATGGCCAGACTTCGTCTCACCTACTTTGGTCATGTTGTCAGAAGGGACCATTCCCTGGAGAAGGATACCATGCTTGGTAAAGTGGAGGGTCAGCGAAAAAGGGGAAGACCCTCAACAAGATGGATTGACACAGTGACTGCAACGATGGGCTTGGGTATAGCAATAATTGTGAGGCTGGCAAAAGACTGGGCAGTGTTTCGTTCTGTTATACACGGGGTTGCTATGAGTCGGAGCCAGCTCAATGGCACCTAACAACAACAACAGAAATAACACAAATACCACAAGGGGGTGGCTTTAAAGGACAGAAATTTGTTTTCTTGAAGTTTTAGAGGTTAAAAATTCAGATCAGAGTCTTGGCCAAGTAGATTCCTTCCTTGTTAGTAGCTCCAGACATTTCTTGGTTCCTTGGCTTGTAGACGATGCTCACATGGTGTCTGCCTCCCCTCTCTGTGTGCCTGTGTGTCTGTTCTGGTCTTTTCATGACTCAGAAGTGATTAGGCTTAGGATCCACCCTACACTGGTCTGACCCCAATAACATAATAAAAGCAAAACCCTGTCTCCTGACAGAATCACATCCATAGGTACAAGGGCAGGATTCCAACAGATAGTTTTGAGGGACACAGTTCAATCTGTAACAACTAGAGCTATTGTTTCTCTTTCTTTTCTCTCCCTTGGCATGAACCCATCCAGGATGGCCTAGGGAGCTGATGGGTAAAAATGAGAGAAGATTCTAAACAGAACACAGTATTTCTACACACACATTTATATGTACTATAAGAATGTCCATATATATGTATGGTGGACATTCTTATAGTACATATATATAT